AGATAGATAGATAGATAGATAGATAGATAGATAGATAGATAGATAGATGGATAGATGGATGGATGGATGGTTACATACATACATAGACAGGCAGGCAGGCAGATGGAGTACTCACCATTCCTCTGCATTTTTGTCTTAGGTCCATAACTGTCTGGTATCTCTTAGTTGACATCTCAAATGAACTATAAACTTATTATTTTCCTGTTTCCCAGAGTCTCAAATTCTTGTCTCAGGGCCACACAGGTGGCCAGTATTCAGCATCAGGTGCAACATCCTAGAGCTCAGGAAGCCGCACGCTCTAAGGACTGTCCTTGACTTATGTTTGGTTTTTACGTTTTTAAGGGTGTCATCGGGACTACCCCGTGTGTATTTGATTTAGAACATTTCTGTTTCATGATGGTTTATGGAGCATAACCCTGTGGTGAGCTTAGGGGCATCTGTGTTGCTGCTACTGTCTATAGCCCACTGTCCTGTAGCTGTTCCTTCCTCAGCCGCTGCCTCTGATCCCTCCCTTGAATCACTGAGTACCATCTCTGCTCTCTCTCCACCAGAGGGAAAAGGATTTCTCTTCACTGTGGCTGACCTTCAGGCTGGAGTTGTACGCTATCATCATGATGACAGCGACACCACCAAAGACTTTGTGGCTTTCAGGATATTTGATGGCCAACACAGCAGCCATCACAAGTTTCCTATCAATATCCTGCCGAAAGATGATAGTCCCCCATTCCTCATAACCAATGTTGTTATTGAACTAGAAGAGGGGCAGACAGTCTTGATCCAAGGGTCCATGCTGAGAGCTTCAGACATGGACTCCAGTGATAACTACATCTTCTTTAATATCACCAAGTCCCCACAGGCTGGGGAGATCATGAAGAAGCCAGGGCCAGGACTGATAGGTGAGTTCTGGGCAGGTAAGATAGCTTGAATGGAATCTTTCTTTCTTTCTTTTCCTTCCTTCCTTCCTTCCTTCCTTCCTTCCTTCCTTCCTTCCTTCCTTCCTTCCTTCCTTTCTTTCTTTCTTTGCTTTTCTTTTTATTTTCCTCTTTTTTTTTTTTTTGAGACAGGGTTTCTCTGTGTACTTTGACAGTCCTGAACTCATGTTGTAGAACAGGCTAACCTCACCTTCACAGAGATATGCCTACCTTTGCCTCATTGAGTGCTAGCGATTATAGGCATGTGTATTATGGTCAAATTTGTGCAAGGGTAGACAATTAGGAAGCAAAATATTATTTTATAATTATACATTTAATTTATTTTATAATTTTTCCATGTTATATAATAGTAGCTTAAAGCTTATATTGTCAACCAACCGCCTAAGTTTATGCATCTACCAAGTTCTTGATAGTTGTCTATCAAGATAACTATCATGCTATTAAAAGTTAAGTCAGCCAAGAAAAGCAATAGAATAAATAAGTCTGAAGGGAGATATTTGGTTTGTTCTAAAGAGCTATTCAATTAATTTCATTAATAGATTTGCTTACATGCGGGTGTCAATAGTTTGACAATGTGGATCAAATAAGTAATGGTCCTCTGTATATCTGGAATAAAATCTATTCCTTAGAAATATTTTCCCATTGTTAATCTCCACATTGAGATCGTGCAGTTTTAATTGCTGCTGTAACTTTTGTCAAAAACATTTAGTGTAAAGTCTCAGCTATGTACAACATACTAGGCAGAGACGACATTGAATGGTAGGTCCAGTTTCATTGTGTCCCAGTACCTAAAATTGTGTTGTATTTTGTGGCCCATTAGGGTATCCTGTCCCTGGCTTCCTTCAGAGAGACCTGTTCAATGGAATAATTTACTATCGTCATTTTGGTGGAGAAATCTTTGAAGATTCTTTTGAGTTTGTCCTGTGGGACAGCCATGAACCCCCAAACCTCTCAGTACCACAGGTGAGAGACCATTTCAGAGCCTCTTACCAAAGTTTTACATGCCAGTATCAGCTCTAAGAGATGTTATTAAATAAAAAGTACATGAGAATGGGTTTCGAGATTCAAAGTTTGAGAAGCAAGGAATTAGGCAAAAACAAGCATGTGGCGTGTGTCACCCCCCTCCCAACCAGACTATGTCCACACTTTCCTAAAGCGCTTTGCAAGTGTCTACATGGTAACTGTTTCTAAGGTTACTTAGCCATAATATATACATAGACAGCCTCACAAATTTGCTTGCTTCTCAACACCCTAGAAGACTTTCTTTTAAGCTAGTGTTTAAATTACAGTCGAGAGTGAGACTTCTTGAGTTTTCCTCCTGTTCTTGACATTAACTAATCAACTTTCATTCCTCTTTACTTATTTTTCAAGCAAGTAATAGAAAAAAGCTTCCTGTTAGGAAGCTCTGGTATAGCTATTGTGGTAGCAAGGACATGCTACTGTGCAAATACGAAGCACCTGGTAAATACTCAAAAAATAAATGGATTTATTTGTTGTTTTTAAGATCTCAGATCTGACTGGTTCTAGAAGATATAATTTAAGTCCCCAGTGAGCAGGAATAAGATGAGCAAACGTTACCACATGGAAATTGTAAAAGATGGGATCAGTGTAGCATATAGACAACTGTGGAAAGTGTGCACTCTGCAAGAAAATGGTGAGGAAGATGGGTTAGATTTCAAAAGGAGCAATTGAAATGAAGTGATCATGGACTTTGTATGATACTGCTGCTGTCTGTTTTATACCTGCTATCTTCAAAGGTAGCACATGCATGGACGCAGACAAATCTCACACCTACCCAAGAAAGAAAACTTAAAGCTTATACCCCCTTGCTGTAATGGATCGATGGGGCGCTACAGCCATGGATATTAGCCACTGTGCGAAAATCCAGGTTGTACACCTGTGTGCTGACATGGACATCCTGGAGGGGAGGGTCTGAAAGAACAGCTTCACGGGGCTTGGAACCTGAAGAAGTCAGTGCTGTCCTGTAGGATAGGGTGGGGAATTTTAAAAATACCTCCTGAATTCATCTGCTTTTCTACTGACAAGCCAACTCCTTTCAAAGTAACCAACCCTTTGTTTCACCTGTCATTTCTGCACTAAACTTTTATGGGAGATTGTGGTTGATTTAGTAGCTCAGAATGGTAGCCATCAACAGGATCTAATTTTGAATATGTGCATCTGTTGAACCTGTTGCTGGAATATTATACCGTGTTTAGAAGGCTCTATGTCTTTTTCAAAGTCAAGATTTCGGGGCTTCTTTCTTTTTTCTTGGTAAACATGTAAGAAATCATGTTTTTCATACACAAGAAGAGAAATATCATATCTCTCTATAGTTATAGACCAAGTTAATGAAAACTCTTGAAACAATTATTTCTAAATATGAGGAAGTAAATCAGTAAATTCTGTCAATCTGGTTATAAACCCATATAATGGATGGGTTCTTTTATTATGATTTATTCTAATTTATTTGTGTGTTGTGCACACACAAATATGTGCATGTATGTTTGGGTGCTTGTGGAGGCCAGAAGAGAGCATCAGGTCTCCAAGATCTGGAGATTTAGACAGTTGTGAGGTGCTTTGTGGATGCTGGAACTGGAACCTAGGTCCTCTGTAAGAGAAGAAAGTGCTCTTAACCAGTGTAAAGAAAATATCTTGTGTATTTGATGGATGCACCACCTGTCAATTAAAAAAAACCTATGGTGTATAGGAAAGTGTAGAATAGAAGGTGGGACATTCAGTAGGCAGAAAGGATTCTGGGACAGTGCCAGGTGCAAGAGATTCACCCAGGAAGATGTGAAAAGGACAGATTCATGGTACCTGAACAGAAGTAACCAGCCACGTGGCAGAATGTACATTAGTATAAGTGGGTTATTTTAAGTCATGAGCTTGTCAGAGAAGAGCCTAGCTATATGATGTAGGTATCTGAAAATATTTTTTGAATCTCATGAGTCATTATTCTGGGAGCTTGGAGCCAGCAGGAAAAACATGCAAACCCTACTACAAACCAGTGAGCCATCTATCCAGTGCCAGGATGTTTTTGCTTGTTTCTTTTTAAGAAACTTATTTAACATATATCCCTGCTTCAGTGTTCTTATATTTATGAACCAGGGAAGAGAGACTGAGTGAAAAAGGCCCCAACATTGTTCTATGTTTATGTAGTATATGGCTTGGATTTTGTTTTTGTTTGTTTGTTTGTTTTTGCTCTTAAACACAGCTGGCCCCCTCTTTATATCTGTAGGTTTCTCATCAATGATTCAACAAACTGATGGTAGATAATTTTTTTTAATTGCCTCTGTTAGGAACCTGCACATAGTATTTTACTTGTCATTATTTTCTAAACCATATGGGCCACTACTATTTACATCACATTTCATTATATTAAATATTGCAAGTAATGTGGACATAATTTGAAGTGTTCAAGGGGATACCTGTAGGCTCTATGCAACTACACCATGTTTTGTATGATTGGAACATCCACAGATTCACAGATCCATGGTGGAGCAGGGGAGTTCGGTGAGCCTATTTCCTGCAGACACAAGCGATGGTTCTTTTTCTAGCTCAGGACTTGTGTTCACCCCATCTCTTTACCTAGCATCTCCACTTGTCTCTGTCATCAACATTTAAAAGACATCTTGTTCAACAAACATTTAGTGTATCTTTTTAAAAGCTTGTACAAAACTGTTGTAGCTAGTAGAGAGGCCAGCTTTAACAATGGAAGTAATTTTTGGTACTGAGAAAGAACACTGGGTATCCTCAAATGAAGAGAAATGAAGAACAAGCTCAAATCAGAGCTCAGGGCACATGAAGGATCACGAATTCAAGCCACAAGAAAAAAACCTCAAAAACTTCACTCCCAGTGACACACTCCCTCCAAGGCCACGCTAATCTTTCCCAAACAGTTCCATGATCTGGGAACCAAACATTCAAATATCTGAACCCAAGGAGGTCATCCTCATTCAAATCAACACATGGACTAACTGAATTTTGCATTTTGAAATTAAGATGAGAATTTGAGAACCGGGGGTAGAGTTTTATGTCTGAAAGCAGTGTGTGTAGAAGTCAAGATGACAAGTGGTAGAGTTATGATGGTTAAACTTTGTTGTCCAGTTGACTGGATTACGATTCACCACAGAAACATCCTTCTAGGCCTGTGTAGTTATTGCTGGGAAAGATTAACTGATGGAGGAAGATGCCTCTGAATATAGGCAGCGGTATTCTAGGAGAAAGCTAAGAGTCAAGACACTCCCCTCTTGCCTCCTAACTATGGCTCGAAGGTGGTTAACTGGCTCAGGTTTTTGTTGCAATGTATTCTCTGCTGTAATATGCTGTATTCTAAAACCATGAGTAGAAATAAAACCTTCTTTCTGGAAAGAAAGAAAGAAAGGAAGGAAGGAAGAAAGAAAGAGAAAGAAAGAAAGAAAGAAAGAAAGAAAGAAAGAAAGAAAGAAAGAAAGAAAGAAAGAAAGAAAGAAAAAAAAGCAAGTCAGATGCCCCCTGGTGAAGTGTAATTGCAGAGCCTGAACCTGAGGGTTGCCAGGGTCTGACCAAGTCATTTGTCACAACGACTTCTCACTTGTTATTTGGATTCTTTTAAGTCTGTCTGTGTGTGCTGTGGCCACAGGGACATTGGAGGACTTGAGGGAAGCTGGAGTATAGAGGCTGATGTCTGGTTTGAAAACTGGTTCCCACTCTGCCTGGAAATGGGTTCTTAATAATATCTTTGTTATGAACAGATTTCAGCACAATGAGAATGCCTTTATTTCTCTGTGGAGTTTGCTAAAATGGAATTTCTCTTGCCCACAGACACACACACTAATTGTTTGAGCATGCATAAATATGTAAAGACACATCAACTTAGGCAATCATAAAGCATGTTGAAAAATGTGCCCACCAAGAATTACTACAGGGGATAAAAAGCATGCTCTTCCATTCTTCTTCCATAAAGAACACATTGGAGAATAAATTAGCATGGAAAATGGTCTCTTTGAAGGCACAATAACTATTGTTTCCTTATTAAATCCAGTTTTTCAATTAAGGAGAGGCTCACTGATCCGTACTATTGCTGTGAGGGCCCATAGAGAATTTCTGAACTTTGTAGATTAGAAAAATGCCATGGTTGGGGGAAAAATCATGACACAGATTTGGGGGACTAGAATCATCATTGTCTTTGTACTCTATTATTTGGATACCTGGCCTTAGTTTTTAATCACTCCAATAAAATAACTGAATAATTTATAGACAGCAGAAACATTTCTTACATCAGAAGACCAGAAAGTCCAGGGTTAAGGTGTCATCCAGTTCATTGTCTGGTGAGGGTAGCTCTTTGTTTTCAAGGTGGTACCTTGATGCTGCGTCCTCCTAAGAGGACAGCAAACTGTGTGCCCACACAAGGTGGAGCAGGATGGAAGGACAAGCTTTCCCCATTCAATTGCTTTTAGAGGGATCCACCCCATTCATGCGGGCAGACCCCTCCTGACCCAGTCCCAATCCACTCAATACTGTTACACCGCTGACGAGGTTCCAAGATGAATCTCAGAGTGGAGCACGCTCAGGGGAATTGCAAGGAGAAAGCCAAGTTCAGAAACAGTTCCAACTGAGAAACTGGAAGATGAGTCTAGAAGATCCTGTAAGAGTGAAAATAATCGGATTCCTAGAGGCAGCAAGAGAAAAGCATTAGATTGAAGAAGCAATATGATATGAATCCGAGGGAGGGAGGGGAAGGTGGTCCATCACGTGCCACTAGAGTGTTGGTTTTATGTTGAAAGGCAGAAAAAAAATAAAGTTGAAAAGTGCAATAGATCTAAACTGTGAATGATCTTGAGTGACATTCTAAGGAGTTTGAATAATGTTACTTCCTGGATGGTTGTTTTAAGGTTTTGTGAGAAGTGAATTGAAGTGAATCAACTAATTAAACTTTTTTAAGTTAATGCAAGTTAATAAAAAGTAGAGACTTGCAGGTGGAGTTAGGGTTGTTGCAACCACATAAAGAAGAAATTATAAAAGTGATACAGAAAACTTGCAAGTAGAAATCTGGCAATGAGGGAGCTGGGAGAGAGGAAGGAGAAATCAAGAGCAACAGCAAGGTGTTTAGGATTGAAACTAAGAGCAACAGCAAGATGTCTAGGATTAATGATGGAGTAGAGAGAGGGAGCAAAGAAGCCTGACTTATTAGTAGAAGGGAGACAGGAAAGTGAAATCAGGGTTGTGCTTTGTATTCCAAATGCCTGTTTCCTAACACCTCAAATGGATTAGCTGGAATGGTGATGAATCTATCTATCTATCTATCTATCTATCTATCTATCTATCTATCTATCTATCTATCTATCTATGTATTCCTGGCTGTCCTAGAACTTGCAACGTAGACCATATAAGCCTTGAACTCACAGAGATCCTTCGTCTCTGCCCCTTGAGTGCTGGGATTAAAGGTCTGCACCACCATGTCTGGCATGATGATTATATTTTTTAAATACAAAATCAGATGAGTGAAGCGGTTTCTAAATCTTTGGACAGAAGTCTTTCATCAATGGCAGTTTGGGGAACCGCCTTAACTGTTCCTAGGTAGCCCTGGGGCGTTCGTTCTCTTTGGTGTTTTCTTGTATTTCAACTAAATAGAGCCACGTGTTTTCATTCTAGGTGGTGACGATCCATATCACTCCAGTAGATGACCAGCTCCCGAAAGAAGCTCCTGGCATTTCCCGGCACTTGGTGGTCAAGGAAACAGAGGTGGCCTACATCACTAAAAAGCACCTGCATTTCCTGGACATGGAATCACATGATGGGGAGCTCATCTACACAGTAACACGTCCTCCATGCTTCTCCTTCAGCCACAGGTGTTTTTGTGGAACTACCGTATGGTCCACTTGTTCTGCGAGCATCACTGTGTAGCAGTGTGATTCAGTTGCTTCACTGGTTAGGCTTGAGCTTGCACTCAATTTCTTCCCTGAGTGAGCGACAATTAGTGACTGACAAGCAACTTGTAGTGTTCAGCACACTGAGGCTTAACAGTCTAAGTCCCATTTTTTTTCCTAAAGCAAATCTTTCTTTTTCTTTTTTAATGCTGTCTGCAAAGTATTATTTTTAGGTGTGGCATTCCATTCAGTGTTCGTCTTTTATAGTCTCAGATCAAAACAGTAGCACAAATAATGCTTAGGCTAGCGTCATATGCGCAGCGGCGAGGAAACACTTGGGATGAGGCTAGTGGTTCCTTTTCACCGTAAGACAGCCAAAAACTTTGTTCCCGCATGATGAGGGTGGCACAGATGATGCTGAACTGAACGCCACAAGCTCCAAACGTAAAGAGACTAAAAAGACGGAGCATCTGCTTTCTCCCCACAATGAAGGGTCTTTTTTTTTTTTTTTTTTTTTTTTTTTTTTAATTGATTTTGCTGCAGTGGCCATCCCTGCAAGCATCAGGCAGGCAGGGATGTGAACCGCGGGGTGGGGGAGGGGTGAGAATGAAAACTTCACCCTGAATTAGTTGGTCTGTATGAAACTTGTAAAGGCTGATGCTGGGTGGTTTGTTGCAGTCATAGTTAAACACTACACTTTGGGGGAAAGTTCCCGTGTAATACTATCCCCTGAGCACAAGGAGGCGTTGTTACAATGGGTTCTGGAGACAGGCTTCCTGTGTTAGCTTAAGGGACCAGGGGAGGCTCGAGCATGGTTTTGATCATACAGATCGTATAGAGGTCATTTGAGATATTAGCCACTTCTGGTCCTGGTTTTGGGAGCTTGATATGGCCTGGCCCTACAGATACAGATCACTAGGCTGTTAATCACCGCCAATTCCCAACCTTCTGGATGGAAACACAGGTTATTCTTCCTTTCCTTAGAGAGGACAATCCCAGTGCTTAACCTTCCTGGTCTCCTTGGTGATCTGTGGGCACCTTCACGCTCCCAACAACTGGAGGCAATTTGATTTCAGTTTTCTTAGCTGAAAAATAAGCTGACATGGTCTGTGTTTCTCTTAGACACCTGGATGCTGGAAAGTTATTCATGGTGGACAGCATACCAAAACTAGCCAAAAATCCTTCAGCCCTGGCGCTGAGGTCATTTACTCAGGTATGAAGATTTGTAAAGATACTGGCCAGCACAGTGTGTAACACGTCTTCTGAGAGGGTCTGGTGTGCCAGGGTTGCTTCCGAGACGCGGCCCTGTCATTTCCGCCACAGGGCGTGATATCTTTATTCTTGTTCTTGAACACTTCTGGTAAGCATGGGACATCTGCTTGAAAGACCTTCCTCAAGTTGAATGTAAGTTCAAACCTTGCTGTAAACCCGCAAGCCTTTGGCATCCTTTGCCAATGGCAGGAGCCTGATTTCGGGTCCCCTGCCTGTGTTTTTATTAAACCGACTACAGATCACTAATTCTGCTGTTTTAGTTTCCCACGGTTGCCATGGCAAAGTGCCACACACTTTGTAGTTCAAAACAAGAGCCCTGTTTTTCTTGTACCTCCAGGAGCTGGAGATGTTGAGATCGTGTCATTGGCAGGTTGCACTCCTCTAAACCCTGTGGATAACTCTCCCTCCCCCTGTTTTAGCATCTAGTGTTTATTAGCAGTTTTTGATATTCCTTGGCCTATAGGTGCATCATTTTCAGCTTTGCCTCCTGTCATTCAAATCTCCCCTTATCTGTCTCTTTGTTACAAGGAGACTATGGGTATTGGATTGAGAACTCGTGCTACTCAAATATTTCCACTAAGTATGTGTGTAATGGCCTTATTTCTAAATTAATTCGTGCTCTAAGGTTCTAAGGATTAGAATTTCAGCACATCACTTTATGCGCATGCAGCTTATCCCATAATACTTACCCGTCTCCCAAATCCTTCAGCCTCCCTTTGCTCAGTCATCTGAACGCTCCTCTGCAGACCCCATGGGGGTGTGGCATATGAGTGCTCAGGCATCAGACATCTGTGGTTTGGGGCTAATTGCATCTGATTTCTTCAGGATGAGAAGTTGTAAATGTGCTAAGTGCTACGTTCAACCAACTTCGCTAATATGGAAACGGGTTTTGCAGGCACAGCTTGCGTTAGTACAATGACTGCAGTGTGGAATAGGGTAAAACATAAGCTTGCCTTCTGCAGAGGTGCTCGGTCTCCAACATTTGACATACTGGCAGATTCCTCACATGTTCAGACAATGTGGTTTACAAAGTAGAGCCCTGGGAATCTTTCCTTCTATGGGGACACTTAACCGTGCTCCATATCAATTCACACAGCGGGGGTCTTGGACTTAGGTTGCTAAAGGATTCTGATGGCTGCAAATCAGCACATATGTCTATCTCCATTCGCTTTGCAGCATGCAGTCAACCATATGAAAGTGGCCTACATGCCTCCCATGCAAGACATAGGTCCCACGCCTCGACATGCGCAGTTCACAGTGTCTGTCAGCAACCAGCATGGAGGTACTTTGCACGGAATCTGCTTCAACATCACGATTCTCCCAGTGGACAATCAGGTTCCTGAGGTATGCAGGGTTTGACATGGAGGGCCAAAAGAAGTGAGAGAGAGAAAAGAGTAATGTTTTCATTTTCTAGCTGCAGTACAGAAAGAAAAGTAGGGGTGGGCGTGGGTGGGAGACTATTTCCCCTGCGTCTTCCTATCTGAAAGGTGAGAATTTTTCAGTCTTGAATTTGGCATTGTTTTCAAAGCCTTTCATTCTGCTGAGCTCCTGTTGTTGATCAGGAGAAGGAGATTAAATGATGGGTCTCTTAGCAACCAGAAGAACCTATTTGCTCTCACCACAGGCCAACTATGCTGCTGTGTGATCCAAAGAAGCTTTTTAATTTTCCAAAATGAATTAGGATGGACCCTTTCGTCTTACCCTGTGCCACTGCTCAATGTTTGTGGAAGTCTTAAAGGGTCTATATTTTTCCTAAAACCAAACTACAAAGGCATTGCTACCTGCTGTCTTCTCTCTGAGGCTGTTTTCTCTGTGAGGTTGTTTTTCTGGACACCCTTCCTTCAGACTACAATACTTGATTAGTGTGGCTATTATTGGGATAATTTTTTTCTCCTTAAAACTGGAAAGACAAAGGAATGTTCTTCCCCATTTGTTATATTCGAGAGAGCCCTAGACCTTTCTAGCTTCACTTCCAAGGAAAAGGGTGAATTTCCCAAACATTTCCCTACAAGTACAGCAACCCTGACACTTTCTCTCCTGAACACTTTCCTACCCGAGTACAGCCAACCCTGATACTTTCTTTCCTGGTCTCTCAGGCTGGCTGCACCTGTCTCAGGTCAGCCAAGAGACTTCTTACTGGAAAGGCCCGAGGGACAGCACTCACTCCATATGCAGAAATGGCTCGACAGGTCTGAATGGTATTTTAACTTGTTACGTTGCGAACTGTTAAGGGTTGGGAGATTTCCAGGCTGACTTGGGGCTTCTGGAAACTACCCAGCTCTCAGGGCACTGAGCCCAGAGGCACCACCGCTGCAGGCAGGACGTGCTGTCCGTTTGCAGAGCCCCCATCAACACCACACTCACCTGTGACAGTCGCCCACCTCTCGAGCTGGAGGGCTCGCCGTCTGTGTTTGAAGAAGTGTTGAAGAGCTGGGGCTGAGGCATCTGCGCCAACCCCAGCCTGGGACCCCTTCCCTGCTGAGGGCCTGGCCTAAGGCTTGTGGTGAAAATAACTCAGAATGGACTTGGTTAGATTTCAGTTAGACCATCCTTTTCCATGTATGAAATACAGATTCTGAACCAAACTGAAGCATCCCCTATAGCACTTGCTGAGAAATCTTATTTTATGCAAAATAGTCCAATTTTTGGAAAAAGCTGATCTTTGCAGGAAATTATGAGGCAGATGGAAGAGTTGCCTTCATTTGAAAGAAGATGGCAAGCTTAAGGCCATCTTAAACAAAAGAGATCTTAATCTCTTTGTTAATGGGCTAGGGACAAATGAAATGGTATTTCAAAGAACTGAGAATATTTGAAATTGAACTAGTACTTCCACAATATGAAATTAAGTAATAATCATTAGGGCATGGAGATCTGGAGCTTCCTAAGTGCTTCTCATGAAGCCTTGGGTTTTTAATGTTTGAACTTGCTCTAAAAGAAATATTTTGAAAAGCATCTTATAGAGTAAAATGTATTTTTCTATTTCAGATACTAACTTGATGCCACCAGGAAAATGGGGCTGATGGGCATGGCCCTTGATGCATGTCCCCTCTGGAAAATAGTTCTCTTTCTTTCTTCTGCTGATAGTGAGGATGTAGCGTGACAAAATCAGAGGGCAGCGCTAGGGAAGGACCACTGGGGCTGGGGATGAAGGGACAACAAGCCAGTTGCTCTTGTGGTTTTCTTTGCTGGTGGTAGTTTATTGAGGAACGTAAGGCAGCTGCATCCTAATCGGAGTCATCTTTCCATGACCCAGGGCGCTGCCCTGGAGACGTGCATGAGTGGCTCGTGTAGGGTGGACATTCCCTGGTGGCTGTGGAATAGACGCTGTGCCCCACTGATCAGCAGGGAAGGATACGCACTGGCGTGGGGGCTGTGGCTTCATCTTGCTGAGAGGGTTTCTTTTTGTAAGGACACATTGTCCCGGCATTGGTGGTGTGCTTGCCACAAGCCTTCTGGGAAGAACCCTCAGAGACCACCGGGGTCTATCCTAACTCTATTGACTACCTTTTTCTTCCATGCAGTGATATTAATTTTGGAAGCTGATATGCTAAGTAAGTTCTACATGGTTTTCTGCTATGGTCTCAGAGCCTGGAGCGCATATGTGTGCCTTACAAAGGTAGTGAGTACATTGCAGATCACAGTTTTCTAGGCTTGTTTAACCATAGAGCATGTCTTGCCCACTCTTGGCCTGGTAACAAAATGTACCAAGCTGATCTATCAAATTTGCTTTGTGCTTATGACTAAATTGTTAGGTAAACACTGGGATTTTTATATTGAAATTGCTCTTGTACCTATTAATATTTAAGTCTAATATTTAAATAAGTTTATTTTCCATGGAATTGTAACTCTCTCGTCCTCAGTTTTCCTGTCCTTACTCTACCTGCAAAACACAATGGAGTTTTCATCATTTTCCCAAGTCTTCCTAAAGAATTTTTAGGGTTTTAAAAAAAGAGCTGGATCCCTTCCTTCATAGGGGCTTGGCTAAGCTCAGTCATTGAAGGTGGGAGTTACTCGCTCAGTTTCTCACTGCAGTAGCCACTGCTTTTCTGATTCTGCTACAGAGGCTCCGGAATACTTAAAGCATATGCACTTTCAAATTAGGGATCTGCCTTTGTGTCTTTGTATCTATCAACACTTTGAATTGAACCTCTTCAATTAAAATATTTTTAGCTAAATTAGTCACGAATGCATCTCTTTACAGACATTATGAAGATGGTACCAGAAAGTTTCTAGGGATCTGATGAGCTCTTGTGTTCAGGGACACCTCATGAAACAAGGCCTTGAGTATCTTCTTCCTTCTTTCTAGGTGTTCACCAACACTCTGAGAGTGGCTGAGGGAGCTCAGTGCACCATCAGCACGGATCACGTTTTGGTTTCTGATGTGGACACCCCGCTGGACAGTATCTTCCTCTCTCTTCAGGAGAAGCCTCTGCATGGCGGGGTAGAGCTGGATGGATTTCCTCTATACCCAAGAAGCACATTTTCTTGGCGAGACCTCCACACCTTAAAAGTTAGGTCAGAAGATTTTGTGGCTTTTCCTTTCTGTGCAGCAGCGTTCTGTCTAGATCAGTGCAGAGCACAGTGAAAAGAGAGTGGGCCACTTCATATTGTTAAGGGTGAATTGAAAATCAAAGAAGTAAAAAGAAAATTTCACTTTTCTTCAGAGATTTCCTCTCTCTGTCTGGCTTACTATAGCAGAGAGAATGAGTTTATGAATATTTGTGCATCAAAAATTAAATTGCCATGAATATTAATTTTGTTGCAATGGCACATATCACAAACTCTGTAGAGACTAAAATAATCTGTGCAGCTAATTGCATTTGACTCTAAGCAAAGGCAATTTCATAACCTTGGAAACTCGGGAGTAGAAGATTATTGATCAGTCAGATATGGCAGCCTATACTTCTAATCTTGGTGCTTGGGATTCTAAGCCAGGAGGATTATGAGTTCAAGGCCAGCCTGAGAACAGAGAGAGGGAGGAGTAGGGTGTGTGGGCGGAGCTAGCTCTGTCCATCGATGGTTTAGATGTAAGCTTTTATTTCATTCTATTGGGCACAGGTTTGCAGGTAAGCAAATAGAGCCTCCTGATGGGTGGGCTGTGGAGCAGGACTCAGGTCTCTGGGAGCCAGAGATGGAGAAATCCTGTCTCTTGGCCTCACAGTAGGCAAGAAACCTTTTCACAAAATCAAGCAAAAAAAATCTCTGGAAAACAATACAAACCCCTTAAAAGTAATAGTCAGGCAAACAGACATACTAATTTTTCACTTACCAAATCTGACAAATGGAAATCTCACTCCTCTTTAGTGGCATGTTGTAGGAAGTGTTTGTCACCAAATGTTTAGTTCTGAGCCAGGAAGTTCGCTTAGGACTGAAAGCTTTGTACAAGATGGAAACCTCCATAGCCCAGTTATATCACAGACTCACATATTTTGTGACCTCTTTCAGTATTCATCAATTCCAATTAAGATTTTCCTGTTTGGTTCATAGTTTGCATTTTGGAATCTCAGCTTCTACCTACATGCTAAAAAGGACTTTTGTTTAGGCAACTTTGGGATGAATGGTGAACAGAAAAGGAGAAGTATTTGCTAGAGTTCTATGTACAATCACCTTTCCAGAGAATGGCAGCTAAGATTTTTTTAAGCCATTTAACGTCAGTCGTCAAGCCTGACGCAGCACCCCATTCTGTTCTCAGCGTTGCAGAACTAAGCACAAAGGTGCTGAAGCGTTTGCTAAGAGCGAGAAATGAGGAGTTAAAGACCTGCTTATCTCCACCGCCACACGTTCCATGCACATTCTCAGACACACTTAGCTGCTCTAAGGATAGCAGCATTGTGAAATGGATCCACACACTGTAACTCAGAGTTATTTTTGACCAAACAGGAAGCGGTATGGGGAATCAGCACAGAGGATAGTGTATGTGAGAGTTGATTAAACCCATTACCAATCTACTGGTGACCCATTTTGAATAAGATATAGTCCCTTCTGTTCATATAACAATATCATATAGCATACTGTTCTGTTGTAACTTTTGTTTTCAAATTCTAGGGCGTAATACTATTTGTTAGTACAAACAAATCATTGGTATGTTAAAAAAAATGGCCCAATTAAATTCAAGAGCTACTTAGAATTAGCTGAGCATTCCTGCTGTAGGCTAGAGAGTCTGTGAAAAGCCTAGAATTATACGCTTTCTTTAAAACAAAAAAAGCTGGCTGAGAATTAAGAGGATGATAAGGCCAAGGGTAGACCAAATAAAGGCATTTTAAACCCGAGGAGATGGAAGACTCTTTGCCAGCTGTGGTAAAGAGCTTATAAAGGGAACATGGACTATGATGGTGTTGATACCCAGGTCATAGACCAAGGCTTCAAAGAGGAGTGGAACAGCTCGAGAGCGTAGGAGGAAAGCTGGAAGGTACAGGGATCACGACATCTTCAGAGTGCCCTGCCGTTACATAGATACCAGGCCAAGGACTTCCCATTATCACAGAGGCCATTGGAAGACTTCTTGTGGAATTTTATTTTCAAGATTATTTTAAAGTACGTGTGTCTGCGTGTTTTTAGTGCATGAATGTACACACTATAAGAACAGTTTAGGGTTTTAAGTGTTAGGCTGTGTCTCCAGCTCCCAGAAGGCTGTTTGTTTTTTGTTGTTGTTTTTTGTTGTTGTTGTTTTGTTTTGTTTTTTATTTGGGGACAAATTACCAATGCATACATGTTTTCCCAGGTAGAACAATTTTACATTTAGGGATCTTGAGTGGTTACAAATCTTTGCATTTAGAATTAAACTACTTGTTGTCTTATTTATTTATTTAAATGGTTATTTATTTAGTGGAGTCACATTTATGGAAGGTTGCTTATGACATGTACCTCCTTTTACACACATGTATTTTTAAGATGTTAGCTTCCATAATATCCCTGCAGGTATCAACATGACGGCTCTGAGGTTCTTCAGGATGAGCTATTCTTGGAGGTCACAGATGGCACAAATTCAGCAGAGTTCGTTCTACACATTGAGGTGGGTGGAAAGCTTCATCCCCGAGACATTTGAATGTAAACTCGCTATTCTGGGAACCTCACACGGTCTCAAAACTTAACATACACGGATTCCAGAGCGAAAGGTTGCCAGCTACACCTGTATGGATCTGGAGCCAGGTGAAAGAGACAAAGGTTATACTGGTGAAACAGACATATTTATTTCTCTCTCCTCCCCTACCCCCCACCCCAGAAAACCTAAAGTTAAAATTGCTCAAAGCTTAAATCCAGATACTTAATTTTAAAAGTGATCATTTCTATCTATAAAATTTGTCTAATAATTTTGAACTATGACCCTCAAGCTTACCTAGTAGCTGGGAAGACTGTCCCAAACCACTGGGCTTCTCTTTGCTTATGGAAGAAGCATGCATAAGCCCCACTAGAAATGTCCATACCACAATCCTGGAATGTGCTCTGTTTAAAGTCATTTTCTTCTTTCCTTTGACAAATAAAGACTGCTGACAAAGTTGAGGCATGTTCAAAGGATATCTGAGAACTTGGTGTTTCTTTGCCGAGAGGGTTCCCCAGTCCGTGAGCATCACATGTATGATTTACAAGTGTTCACAGTCGCTGATGGAGAGGCTTATCGTGTTCCCTGAAGGGCCATTCAGTATTCACATTGCGTTCCCTTCCATCTTCTCCTGTTTGAATCTGGTCTAGATTTTTAGTGATAGAAAATTTCTATGTATTTGTACAATATTTTATAGCTTCTCATTAATAAAGAGCGTTAATATCTATAGATTGTTTTAAAGGACAAAGAAGAAATTATCTCTAGTTTGTCTAACTAAAAAGATAGGCCCCAGGTGAGTCTGCAGTTGGTTCAGAGTTTTGAACTCGATGATGGAGTGCAAAACGTGCTTCCTCATCACGTGACTGTGCTTTCCCCCTCCTTTTTTAAATATAATTTTTTGTTTATTACAGTTTATTCACTTTGTATCCCACCCTCATCCCTTCCCAATCCCACCGTCCATCCCTCCCTCATCTCCTCCCATGCCCCTTCCCCAGTCCACTGATAGGGAAGGACCTCTTCCCCTTCCATCTGACCCTAGCCTATCAGGTCTCATCAGGTCTGTCTTTCATAGTCTTACTCTGTGGCCTGGTAAGGCAGCCCCCGCCCCTGCCCCCGCTTCAGGGGGAGGTGATCAAAAAGCAAACCACTGAGTTTATGTCAGAGACAGCCCCTGTTCCCTTTACTAGGGAGGCCATTTGGAGACTGAGCTGCCCCGGGCTACATCTGTACAGGGGTTCTCGGTTATCTCCATGCATGGTCCTTGGTTGGAGAATCAGTCTCAGAAAAGTGACTGTGCTTTTACCTGGCTGGTCTTGATGACTTTCTCTGGCAGGCTCTATGCGCAGCCTGTCTCTCACTTTCTCCTCAGGCCTCACAAAGGCCTGTCTCCATGGGAAGCAGAAGACCATTTCAGCTTCAAGAAGGAATGTTTTCTTTCTGGCAAACTTTTACATACAAAGAAAGATTCTGAGTTATTTTTACATTTTTTAAGACCACCCCAATCTTATTTGTTGAATCTGTCATATATGACCATCCCATTATATATGGCAAAAAGCAGTGCATCTTGGCGAAAGAAATCCTTTATTGCTTCTTTTTAAGTTAAAAGACATAGTTTCAGAAAGCCAGACAAAACAATTTTGGACAGTGTTGTTTGTGATTTCTTTTTTCTTTTTCTTACAATGACTATTCAGTTATCATCCATGTGAGTAAATCCATAACATTTCTTAGAGTCAAGAAAGATGATGTAAGTCTTTAATGGATTCACACAGAAGACATGAACAAAGATAGTTCTTCTTCATAGGCCAAAAGGAAAGCACACAATTACGTTTTTAAACCTTTGATGAGATAACTAAGCCAGAGCATCTTTGCACTCACCCGGTTCCCTTTATGGGGAGCATCAGCACACTGCTCTGTGTGTTTGTCTTGCAAAGTTGTATCCACTCACTTATTTATTCAACAGACATTTAATAAGCACCTTCTGTAATGTGTGTGGGGTCTTAAATCCATGCTTGTAGAACAATTATGAACAGGATAAACGAGCAGGTTCCTGTTATTGACGTTACAGACCAGGCATGATGGTAGCCGCTGACTGGATAATCACAAAGATAATTGATCAAAATATATGTGTGGTTTTTGAACAGGAGCGTAAGTAATGGAAGCTTCTTAATTAGCCTGAGTGATCAGGAAACCTTCTCTGAGGTAGAAATGAGTTGCACAAAGAGAGAGAGACAGGATGGGCTGGGCAAGCTGGAGGGTTAGGCAGAGACCATAGGGGATGCTGAGGAGCGTGTGCTCCGGGGAAAATGGAGTGGGTGGTGAAGGCAACCACAGCAGGCTGCACCAGAGACTTCTGGAAACTTGGGGGGAGCAGACGGGACACAGAAGGTCCCTGCAGGCCAGCAACTTGATGTTTTATGAAGATCACTTTGTCTGAGGTATACGGAAGGTTGTGTAGGGCTGAAAGGATACATACTTGACCAAATCAAACGACATAACAGCCATAAAGTTAAATTAGCCAACAACCAAACAACCAACCAACCAAACAAACAAACCAACAACTAATCAACCAAGCAAGCAAACAAAAACCCTTGGAGCATATTGATTTGACCATGAACTCCAAGGAAGAATTCCCTCTGTTCACATCCCATAGATGCACATTTTCAGATTTCTGCATGCTTTTTTTTTTTTTTTTAATCCAGAGAGCGAATACAATCCCATATTGCTTTGTTTTTCTTTCTACTTGAGGCTTCATTTTTACGAATGTGAGAGAAGAACATTTTATCAAGCTCAAACCTGGAGCTGATCGTATAGTCACAGAGTTTAACCTACCACTCAAGCCATTTGACATGCTGCCGTGGCTTACTGTGGACCCAAAAATCTCTGTGGGTGGCCAGAAGCTGAAGGTGAAAGAAAGCTTTGAATTACCAAGTAATTTGAAAGGGAAAAAACTTTGATGCTGTGAATGTAAATACATCAGACCACCAGGCCCAGAATTCTTCTAGACTGTGTGTGAATTTAATGAAAGAGGCTCCGTGTTAAAGTGAGGACTGTTTTGTATTGCATTTCTGCTTTGTCTTCTGAAAACAATGAGTTTTCCAAGTTTCCCAGCTATAACCACAGACTCTTATTCCTAAAATGTGTCTCATGTGGAACATCCCTTAGCTGATGGAGAAAGTCAAAAGACTCAGGATGCTTTGGCCAAATTCCATGGCTATTGTTCCATGTGTCCAGAAGATGAAAAATGCCTGTCACTGTGACTGTGAGCTATGGCTTGCCAGCTGGGACATTCGTCACTTCTTTCTTTTTCTTGAAAATGTGTTCTTTTGTTCCTGCTTAGGTGTTCCCTGTGAACGATGAGCCACCTATTCTAAAGGCTGACCTCATCCCCATGATGCACTGCTCAGAGGGTGGAGAGGTGACTATCACCCCTGAATACATTTTTGCTACTGATGCAGACAGTGAAGACTCGAAACTACTGTTTCTGATTTCCCAAGAACCTCAGCATGGGGTGGTGAGAAAGTCTGGGATCCAGGTGACCAGGTTCTCTCAGGAAGATGTCGCCTCAGGGGCTGTGACATACAAACACACAGGTAAGTGACAACCTTGTGCCTAGTGAAGGCATTTGAGAGAGTCCTAACTCCACCCCATGTCGTGGGCTCCTATAACATTGCAATCTTTTTTTTTCCATTTTTATTTTTTTTGTAATCCATTTTTTATTGTTTATTATTATTAGTAACATGCAATCTTAATACTTCTTTTTTCCTCTTAAAGATAAAGCTATAGCCTGTACTCCAGTTGGTAAGCATGGCTGCCATGGAAAGAGGAACTCTTGACCTAAGTATGATAGTGAATTTCAGAGAGTGGAGAAGAGAAAGAGCAGCTATCATTTGCTGCACTGTCTAAATGCTCCCAACCCCAAATTCTTCTTTTTGAGTCAATTTGAAGACTCTTGCTATTTACCGTGCAGATTTCTAAATCATGCTGAAATTCCCAAGCAAGTCAATTAAAGCAAAATGACATCATTACTTTTAAAAGTCTAAATGGCCAGCAGCCAGCTCCCAATCAGTAACCAGTCTTCCTCTAGGTTCTCAAAAAGCAAGATGATGTTTTGCACTTTTTATGACCTGTTCATGGTACATTTGTAAGGTCTGGGTTTCCATTGATGCTATCTCAATATATTGTTACTCAGTTGACATTTCTTCTCACCAGGTGATGTGTTCAACTAGAGAAAATATTAACTCTAAACCAGGTGTGGTGACACATGCCTTTAATCCTAGCCTTTGGGAGGCAGAGGCAGGCAGATCTTTGTGAGTTTGAGGTCACCTGCACTACAGAGTGAATTCCAGGACAGCCAGGGCTACACAGAGAAAACCTATCAAAAAAAAAAAAAAAAAAAAAAAAAAAAAAAAAAAAAAAAAAAAAAAAGAAAGAAAGAAAGAAAGAAAGAAAGAGAAAGAGAATATTACCTCAGTATCTGATATTTGCCAGGCACAGCATTGGGCCCCCATAGGCCACAGTGGAGTGCCATCCAGGCTGTGCCGAAAGACTGTTAGCTGAGTGTGCAGATAGAACCCTTTCATGTGGAAGGATGACCACAGCACACTGGCAGTTCATATTGCTCTTTCTTGTATATCTTCTTTTCTGAATATTTTATGTCAGTTTGACATAAGCTAGAGTCATTTTGGAAGAGGGACTCTCGATTGAGAAAATGCCCCCATAAGATCAGGCTGTAGGCAAGCCTGTAGGACATTTTCTTAATTAGTGATTGATGTGGGCAGTTCCACCGCTGGTTGTCCTGGGTTCTGTAGGTATGCTGGCTGAGCAAGCCATGGGGAACAAGCCAATAGCGGCACTCCGTGGCCTCTACTGCTCGGTTCCCGCCCTGTTTGAGTTATTGCCCTGAATGCTTGTGATGATGTACTGTTATGTGGGAGTGTAATAGAAATAAACCTTTTTTTCCTAAAATTGCTTTTGGTTGTGGTATTTCATCACAGCAGCAGAAACGCTAAGTCATCTATTTAGATCTAAGTTAGTAACTTTAGCCCGGAAATAGCATCATGGATTTCCTCTTGCTGGAGTTAGTCACACACTACCACAGTTTTCCCAGTAACAGTCTCTTTAGGCTGGAAATCCCATGCAGGAAGTAAGAAGTCATGGAAAGGCTAACTGAGTGGGCTACTAAACTACTTACCTTTGTGTCGCTGCAACAAATACCTGACAGAAACAACTGATGTGAAGGAAGACATTTTATGCATTATTTTCTGAGTGTATTCAGCCATTCACAGCCACGAAGTCATGACAGAGAATCTCATTTGGTGGCAGTGGCATGAGGCAGAATCTTTTCACATGATGACAGCTCAAGAAGCAAAGAACAAGACTGGAGCCAAGGGCTGGACTGTCACTTTCAAAAGCCCACCTATAGTTACCTACTTTTGCCAGCTAGCTCCTGCCTCATAAGGTTCCATTGATTCCCAAATATTACCTTGAACTGGGAGACATGCCTCCTTGAACTGGGAGACATGCCTCACAGGTTTTCATTTAAAATTGGAGTGCATGCACCTCCATGATATCTTAACTCTTGAATTGTGTGTTCTACTAAAACCAGCACCATGTTGACAAAGCCAAGGTCGGCTACCATCTTAAGTAGTAAGTAGTTGGGTGGTCCTGGACCATGATGAAAACAGACTCTGAGTGACTGTGAGACAGACTCTTGGAAAACATCTTCTGAGGCAGTCCTGCTAAAGTATGGCAGTACAGGCTCCAGGAACAAACAGCCATGGCTATGGACAACCAGATGGCTGCCAGTGTAAGAACACAATCAACAAAAACCAGGACATCATGGCTTCACCAGAACTCCCCCGCCCCCCAAATCAATGGATATTCAAATGCAGCTGAAACACAGGAAAATGATCTTAAATCTATGATTATTCAGTTATTAAAGGCACATAAAGAGGAAATGGACAAATCTCTCAAAGAAATACAGGCAAACATAACCAAACAAAGAGAGACCATCTTTGACAGACAGAATCCACAATCAAACAGGTGAAGGAAATGAATAAAATCATTCAAGACATGAAAACGAAATTAGAATCATTACAGAAAACACAAACCAAGAAAACTCTGGAGACAGAAAACTTAGAGAAGAGATCAGCAACCACAGCAACCACGGTATCACCAACAGGATCCAAGAGATGGAGGAGAGAATCTCAGGCATTGAAGATAAAATTGAAGAAATCGATACATCTCTCAAAGAAAACAAAAATGAAAAAGTTCCTGACAAGGACACCATGAAAAAAATGAAACCTAAGAATAATAGGTATAGACAAAAAAGATTGTAGGCTCTAAGGTCCAGAAAATATTTTCAAGAAAATCATAGAAGAAAATTTTTCCAACCTAAAGAAAAAGATGCCTTTAAAGAGGCTTACAGAACACCAAATAGACTAGACCAGAAAAAAATTCCTTTTACCATACAATACTCAAAATGCTAAATCTACAGAACAAAGAAAAAAATATTAAAAACGGCAAGGGAAAAAGGGCAAGTAACATATAAAGGTAAACCTATCAGAATCACACCAGACTTCTCAACCGAGACTATGAAAGCTGCTACTTTTTAAAACTGAAGCTACTTACCCACACTTGTTTTGTTTATAGTTTACAGCTTATTTTCCTTGACAAACTACGTATTTTACATCATCCTCATCTTCATTTTGCTCCTAATCCTCACAGTAAAGCTGGGTAAAAACAGCCAGTAAAAAATCATGCCACAGCCTGAATGCTATGCGTCTTAAAATTTCTTCCACCAATGATATTAATCCATTACTCTTGAATTCAGCCTCACTCGGATTTTTAGGACATGACAAAACATAGACAGATATGCTATGTAGGCCAGGCTGGCCTCAGGCTTATGTTATCTCCATTGTAGATCACAAATAGTCTTGCAAGAAAGGGGCTCAAAGACCAATGGTTATTGTTTGTTTAACAATCCCAACATCTTCAGCAGGCTCTCAAAGGTCAGGTAAATTATGGTAAGATGAACCATATTCTCTTATATTGTCTTGCAAATCCTAAAAGGCAGGTTTACAAACATCTGAATCTCTTCTTATGTGATGCTCACATAAAGAACCGTTAGTTAATAAGTCCTAGAAGGACATTGTAGGAAACAATTTCACATAGGTTTTTTTTAAAGTTATGTTATATTAGAAGGAATACTCAATTTATGGGATGTTTTGAATGTTACATTTCCTTAGAATGCTCATGTCTTTACGCCACTGGTACTCATTTAAGCACTGTTTGGATCGATATCAAGAATCCTGGCACTAAAGATCTGATGCCTCAGTGACTTTTCTGTTTCAATCATTGCTTCAGTGTTTTGATTAATTTTGTCACCTGAACTGATTAGTTTTAACTGTCAGCTTGACACAACTTGGTATCACCTGGGAAAGAAGTCTCAGTGAGGAATTTTCTATATTAGGTTGGCCTGCAGGCATGTCTGTAGGGAATTGTTCACCCTTAGAGGAAGGTAGGTCCCTATGGTTGAAGACACTATGCACTTCAGACACAGGACTCAGAGGGCCCTGAACTGGAACTTCCTTGAAAGCCTTCCCCAGAGGACTATCTTTCATGGTACCCACCAGGAGGTGCCTTGGAAGCTTCCAGAGAAGGGAAGTAACCAAGAGTTCTACCAGCTGTGACTCCTTTACAACACGATATTCCCAGTGGTGTAGTAGTGGCATACATACCTTGGTGGTAACCAACAGATTTTTAATTGGCCTTAAGACCCTCTCAACAATAGGAAATCATGCCTGGTGCTAAAGACCCAGACAACTACCTAGGACTAGCGAAGTCAAGGATCTTTGAGGAGAACTTACAACTGCGTCACTAAACCGGCACAATTCCTAACAACAACCTAAACATTTGTTCTTATGTCTACAGATAAGTGTAGTCTTCACCCCTCACTGAGGAGACTACTTTTTGTAACAGATGGAGACAATTATAGAAAACCACAACCAATTAAAATGCAGAATTTTTGGAGCCCAATCCCACCTAATGCATCTACAATACCATTCTAGCTCAGGGATCATTGTGGAGGAGGGGGATGAAAGAGTTTAAGAGCCAGAACAGAAAATCTGTTGTGTTAAGCTACACCGATGTCTCATCCACACGGTTACCTAAACTTGACCTGAACAAGCATAATTCCTGTAGATGTGTTAACTTGGAAAGAAGAAGTCTTATGTGGCCTCCGCTTTAGACGATCCTAGACAAAACTATAGACAACTAAGGAATGCTGAAAGTGGGAGAAATGGTCTTCCCAAGGGACGGGTATGCCAAATGGTTGTGTAATAGAAATAGTCAGCCCTGAAAACGTATAAATAATGTCATACAGACGGAGCAGATTGTATTATGTATTGAGGAACACAGTCACACACACACAATGAAAAAAGAAGCCATGGATTTGAAAGAGAGCAAGGAGTCTATAGCAGGGTTTGGATTGAGGAAAGGAAAATGGAAATGATGTATTTGTATTACAATCATGCATTGATCGTATCCATTTATCCTCTCCTACAAAGGATCGTTCTCTCTTCTTTCTCCCAACTCCTGTCCCGAATACACTTCTCTGGCCGTAAAAGTCTCTCTGTCATTTGTTTTTCTTTCCCTTCTCCTCTGGCTACTCTCCACAATTCCATTATGTACTTCAACAAAACTGAGTTGTTGCTTTCCACATCTGTCTTGTTTCACTTACATAATGTTTTTTGAGTTCTTCCCATCTTGCTGTGACTGGTATAGCATAAACATTTCATGTTTTCTTTCTCTGTGCATCCACTGAAGTCTGTCTGGAGTGGGCCCACATTTTGACTATCACGACGAATGCTGCAATAAACATGGGGATACAAGTATCTTCTTGGTATAAAAATTTACCTCCTCAGGGTATCCAATGAAGAGTGGGATGTTGGATTACGCAATTCTGTTTTTCAAGGAATCTGCATAACATTTCCCATAAAATTCCTATTATTTTACATTTCTTCTAATAGTGTTTATTTTTCTCCGCATTTACCATTTATTGTCTTTTTGGTGATGGATGTTTAGCTGAGTAAGATGATAATTCATGGTTTTGACTAACATTTTCCTGGTGATTAATAAAATTGCATACTTTCTGATGAGAATTGGATTGACTGAATCTCTTCATCCCTTTGGATAGTGTGATAATGTGATATCTTTTTTATTTTTTATGTTCTTATCATTTCTTTCATCAGTGTTTTATAATTTTGTTGTAGAGTTTGCTTTTTAATTTATTTTTTAAGTATTGTGAGTGTGATTGCTTTCTTAATTTTTATTTCACTGTGTTTACTATTTATGATTAGAAATGCTACTTTAAAAAGAAAAGGAAAAGAATGCTGTGTATTTGTGTGTGTTGGTTTTGTTTTTGCATAGTTAACTGAACTCATGTGTATGTTCTAAGTATATTTGATGGAGTCTGCTATATCTATAAATAGGAATAATTTAATTTATCCTTTTCATTTTTGGTGTCTTTTCTTTCTGTTGTATTTCTTTTGTTAAGATTTCTAGTACTATACAGTAAATAAGAATTGAGAAAGTCTTAAGTTGTGTTCCTTGATTATATTCCATTTGAATATATTATATATTATGTAATATATAATATAATATAATATAATATAATATAATATTATATTATATTATATTATATTATATTATATTATATTATATTATATTAT